GATTCGATGTGGGCGTCGACTTCGCGAATACGTTCCAACGTACGAGCTCGCTGGAAATTCGGTACCTTTTCTCGTATTCCAACGTCGTGAGAGCATCAGCGATACTAGTCTCTTCTCTCTCTCTCTTTATCTTCTGTTCGATTTTCTGGTCGAACTGGTTGGCTCTTTCTCTAGTAATAGTCTATTTCGTTGCTTTTCCTTCTTGTTGTTACGGTCTTCTTTCGAGATTAGTTTCTTCTTTCTCTGCCTTGTGTGCTGTTCTTTCTTGTTCTCGTTCGAGCCTTTTGAATTTTCTTCGAGAAAACTTATTTTCCATTTCCCATCATACCGAATATCAACTTCATTTGTTTCTTGTTCTTTTCTTCTCCTCGTTCTTCCTTCTCTCGCGTTGCCCCTTTTTCTTCTTGTTCGAGGCTCGTGCATCTCATCCGTGTCCGTTTCGCGAGCCTTCCACCTTGGTGGCCGACTCGCTGCGCACACAGACGTACCCCTATCGTATCGTAATGTGAAGTACGAGTCGAACGTACGTGTTTCTCCCGAGACTCGTCCCATCCCCCACTCCTCTCTTTGCCTTTGATTTTCTCTTCGTAAAATCTTGTACCTTCGAGGATTGGCTTGCTTACGGAACGGAGAAACGATATTAAAAGGGATGCATTAGCATTGGGATTGGGATTTTTTTTCACTAAGCTCGTTTGCAGCCGCCATTGCCTTTACTTTGTTACACTCCCGAACTTGAACTCGACATTTTATCGTCCATTGTTTTAGATAGTTTGAGACTTCACATCTGAAATTGCATCATCCGTATTTTCATTCTTCTTGATATAAAGTATGTACAAATATTTCTTACGGTTATCACACGTCTAATTTATATAATTTATTCAGCTGCTTTGTAAGATATTTATTCGTTAGATTACTACTAACCGTCGCAATAAAATTGCAATCTGTTTCAACTTTACACTAAATAAAACACTCGCGTTGATATTTTCACATCAATTTCTCATTAAACGTTTCCTAAGTTTTCGCTCAATTTTCAAATTAATCAGCAAGAAAGAACGGACAAAGAATCGATCCCCCTCCTCAACCTCAAAAAAAAAAAAAAAGAAAAAAAAAAAAAAAACTCATAATATAACCCAAGATTTCTATAAAACAATGCCTACCAAAAACAAGAAAAGAAAAGACAGAATAGTTGATGCTAAAGCGCTGGAATTTTTTGTCACGTGAAGCGCATCTTCCGTACATGTCGGCGCAACGTGACTCGAAGGCTCGTGCTGGCCAAACGAGCAGGAGAAATGACGCGACTCCCTCTCACGAACTATAAACTCCGTCACTATTTTGATTCCCAGCATTTGGCATGATCGTACGCGCGTCCGTGGTTCCCCCCTTCATGCAATATTGATGACCCGCCGCGGATCAAATGCCCCATGATAGCCCCCACCTACTCCGTCCTCCCTAACCGGTATCCTGATTGCGAAGCGGGTCAGAGCCACTGATTTTCAATGGATGGCAGCCGAATTTAAACTATGATTACACCCCCCGCCGTCGTCTAAGTACGGGCCTCGAGGTCGGTTTAATGAAGCCTCGCCGAATTAGCGCCGAGCGCTAAATTGCGCGCATTTTCCAACCGGGGCTTCAGATAACCGACACGTGTGGCTATCGCGAAAATTAGCAACACGTGAAAGTCACGGATAATTAGTCATCAGGTCGAGATAACGCTGGCAACGATAACACGCGTGGCATACCCTGCAACTGTACACCGAGTTGACAGTGGTCGATAGCTAGCCTCATGACTAACTGATCGTAAGGAAAATGTGCTCTTTGGATCTGTTGGAAGTTGATCGCGACCCGTTGCGCTTCAAGGTAAGAGCGAAGAGTTATCAATACGTGCGGCTCGTTCTTTCTTCACGAAATTCGGAAGAAAGTCACGTTTGGGAAGAATCGTTTCCGAATTTTCAGCCTCGTGTTCACCGGAGCGTGACCGACGCGCGGTGGCTATTGTCTTACAGAAAGTTTTCGATTTCCATTCGTGGTTCTTGCGTTTAAATAGGGTGGAAGGAAGAGCGTTTCGAATGAAGGGTAGAGGCTGGCTTTCGACGTTGCCGCCACGAGATAAGACAAAGAGATGCAGACGCGCCGGCTCGTGGTTGATGTAGCGTCTCGAATTTTAATCCTCTGTAATATTGAGTAACCTGACACTCATTTTCTAGTTTTCACTTGTTGCATTTTAATGATACATTGTTACGATAATGTCGTATGAATTATTTATAACATTATAATTCGAATGGCCAATTACTTGTAATTCGACGATTGGTACAGTTGCACGAGAATAACATACTTACAATAATTATCAATTCCCAGAGTTTAAATTGGAGTTGATTGATGATCTTCCGATTAATATTCCTAATATCATTCCCATTTTTGTATAAAAATCTTTTAGGAAATAGGATATTACCATAACGTTTGAAGCAAAAATTTTCCAATGAGAACAACTATGGTATGGTATTAGAACTTTCTAACAATTCAATTTTTCAACAAATGTAACGAGTGTTCCGATACTTACGAACTCGAAACAACAGACACGTTCAGAGTAATCCGACGATTCGATTGATCCGTCGCGGGAAAGGTTCCATCCCTTCATCGCAAACTCAGGATCAGTACCCGATTGAAAAGTTTCCTATTTTCACTTTCGCGTGGTCGTGTTTAAATGCTGTTTAATTACCTGTCACGAGGCGCGTACTTCGAATGAAAAATCTACGCGAGCAAAATTAATACGGCAATTAATCTTGCCGGGTGTCAGACGCGAAAATTATGATCGCTTTATGTAGCGCTTTGTCCGGCTGAGACAGAAACCCCTCCGTAATGTCAGGGTTATTACATTTTTCCGCAAATGGAGAAAAGGAACAAAGAGGAAGAAGAAGACAAAACAAAAAGAAAAATGAAAAAAGAAAACGAGCAGCGCGAATTTGTAGCTACAGCTCTCTCCGGGATGAGATCAAGGTGTTCCTCTTTTTTCTTCCTTTTTTTCCTTTTTTTTTTTTTTTTGGCGAAAGATAGGCGACGTACGTGCACGATATATAAACCAACGGCAGCGAGACCAACGGGACACTCATTCTTACCGTAATATTCCGACGTCACTTGCAGAGGGTGTCCCTTTAATAATTTATTAGCAAGCCAGCCAGCGGAACAGGGAGTCCCTGATTGTGTCGTGTCGTCTGTCCCCGGCATTGTCGGGGCAACTCGCCGCGGGTGGTCCTTGACACGATCCTGGTACTTGGATGCTGTAGCTGTTATTAATACCAGAACTGCCGATCAATTATTTATGATACGTTCCTCGTTGTCAAATTACTTCTTTCCGATACAACTTGACGGGAAATCTCGTTTTCTGTTGAATACCAGTACTGTAAGGGAAATGTCTATCACCGATTTCGATGATTTTTGATCTGTAGACTGTAGCAATTTACGTCAGGTTAATGAAACTGCGCGTTTAATTTTAACTCATCGTATTTTATATTCTTCATGACGAATGTTAGCAGTATAATTAAATCGAAATAAAATAACGAAATTGTGTTGAAGAAACGCCAATGCAGAGTTTCCTCTTGACGAGGAAACAAATCCTGTGCAATCTTCTCCAATAAAAGCGAAGGACTAAATCGATTTCAGAAATAAGTAGTCAGATGAGTATCGATTACTTTTATCAGCACGGTATTTCCTGGTGTTAAAATCTCGCTTGATTTTTCTTCGATCGGTCATGGGTGAAACATTATCAGCCGACACAGGAACGATCGGCTCTATAGATTTCAATAATTCGATTGTTAATGTCGCAGGAAACGCATTAATTATTTCAGTCAGTATATACGATAGAGAGAAAGGGGGTTTATTATTCGAAGCTATCAATTACGCGTATCCTTAAAAAATGTTGCCATACGGATTGTTTTCTCTCTCAAACGCTAGACAACTCGACATACATACCTCGATTTTACGCGGCCCACGCGAAAATGGATTTTTTCTCGATTCTATCGATTTACACGTGTACAGCGATACGCGTTGCCGCTACGATAAATCAGCAACGCCGGGCGTTTATCTAAATATTAATTAAACGTCGGGTCGGCCGGGCGAGGAGATTTCAGAGGAAAAATATGACGATGAAACGCGTAGGTACTGTCGTTTAAAAGTATGTAGACATTTATCATGGGATCTGTGAAATACGTATAATTCATATTATTACTGTGTTAGATGATATTTATACGGTCAAATTATATATTGCGATTGTTGAATGATGCTCGGTGCTAAATTCTTTTGCACGTTTAATTTAAATACATTTAATACATTCTCTTGTAGTACAGTATCTTGAAAATACGATTTTAATAAATATCAATGTGTAGAAAAAATTTTGGCAATTCTCTTATTCTGTATAGGATGATTTAATATATTTGGACAACTCATACATAGCACTAATGATTTCATCACACTGTTTTATTTAAACAATGCGAAACAAAGTTATTAATTTAAAATTAGACGAGGCTTGATGGTTGCCTTATTCATGCCTGATAAAATATATGTTATGCACGAAATTCAGTTGAAATTTAAAATTTCACACGAATAACCGATATACATTGACTGAAAATATATTTTCTAAATTAGAACACTTCAATTTCAATCGCAATTCAAGAAATATCTGATGAAATATCTCCTCCAAACAATGTGTGCTCTCCCAAATACACCGGGATACACAAATTTCAGATCTCTCCTCGGATAATCACAAGAACGAAGAGAATGTTCAAACATCATTCGAGTGTTGGCGCGCGCGAATATCGATTGATAGGGACGATCCGTGGATAATCGCGCGTACGATAAGGCCGTGCCGCGGATAAGAAAGACGAAGATCCCCTGGTCGTAAATCGAGTTTCGTCGTACAAGTGGCGCGCCTCCCATCGTCGTTCGCGATCGGGCCCCGCGTGCGAATTAATCCAGCGACGGGCCGTACGTGTTTCCACGGCGTGGAGCCGGTGTATATATGCGTGTGAGTGATACATGCGTATTTCGGGCCGCGTATATAATAACAGGTTGCCAGTACGGGGCCCTCTCCTAGTCCCTCCGCGGCCCCTCGCAGCCGCAGTGATGTATGCGCTAATTGTGAGGCCCTTCGTTCCGACTCTCTTCCTTCCCCCCCATACGCGCTTCTTTTCCCTTCTTTTTCCTCTCGTCTTCGTCTTCTTTCCCTCGAGCCGCTGCGCGATTCCTCAAGGAGGTTAATATCGAGCTTCGATTCAATTTAACCTCCTGGTCGTACGATCATCAACCAACGTCAATGCAAGTATTCATCACAGTTCAGTCAACAACAATGTAGCTTTCAATTCGTCTGTCCCTCGAAAGTATTTGAACCGGTCGAATTGGCAGTTGGATTGAAAGTTTCGAAGTTTAATTTTTCATTGGGCCAGCGTCCGAGTATCGTTTCACAATGTTTTGTTTCACTATCCATTACGTTTCAATTTCTTCCAATTATCACAGATTTGATGTCGAGGTAACTTCTGCACTTTTTGAGGAACTATGTTAGAATCATCCGGACAATTTAAATAATAAAAGACGGTTGATTTTCACGGCTAGATTTTGTGGCTAGTCGATCTACGCGGAACGATCGATTACGATCTTCCGGATGGAGATGGTCCGTCGGCCGGCCATATTTTTATTTAGACACACGTTTGCAAACGCGTAAATTTATTTCAAAAAGGGGGACGTCGGATAAGACGGGCATTCTCGTTCGTCCTTTCGCCCAAAGGATTTCGACATCTGTCCAAGCGTAGCCACGCTCGGCAAGATGTATCGGCCAAGCCCCGAAGCAGGCAATTAAGTAATTAAACAAATCTGTCGAAGGCGTTATGAATGAGTGGACGCACGCCCGCGAGGCGTCTTCGTGGGACGAGAAGGTTGAAAACGTCGCTTCGTGTACCAAGACGTACGACATTTTCATCCGGAGAACCATCCTCTGGTTACGTCTTTGTATATGACTCTGTCAGAGCCACAGCTCTAACTCTATTACAGATGCTCGAAGCAGATACTCGTATAACTTGAACTGTAACTGGAACTGTGGTTCGAAAATTATAAACACGAGTATTCGGGTGTTTGAGTACTTGAACTGTGAATTGCGTATTCCAAGCTTGAGTATTTAAATTCGAGTTCTTTCTCTAAGCTATATCCTATATTAAAAATCGATGTGCTGTCAAAGATTGAAATTAACTGTCGAGTAGATTAAGGCTAGGGCATGATTCAAACTCGTAACTACATTCGTCAGTTACACATGGATTCGTACGTTATATGCTATGTGAAAAATTACACGGGCGAAATATTCATGAACAATATTTGTTCGTTTCCTCTTCATACACTAACACTAACGCTACAACAGAGATTTTAACGCTACTACATAAGAGAAAATATTTCGAGGCACTTGTACTCATCCAGATACCAATTGAACGAGTGTTCGAGTCCTCGAATATTAGGTGCCTACAGAATCAAGTCAGTCAACTAACGACAAACGCTGGTTCGAACAAAAGGCAGGGAGTTTTTTTGTGAAGCTATAAGCTGTAACTCACTGGAAATGACTGACAGTCCACGCGGTCATAAAACACGAAAGTGAAGTTGTTCTCCGATGGGAGAGAGAGAGAAAGAGGAAAAAATGAAAAAAGAAATCCGACAAAAGGTAAATCTGAAACTAGGCTCTGGTTTACGACGCGTGTCGTTCTCGCGTTGTCAATTCCGTTGGCGCGCAATCAAGCGCAGACCGAGCATTAACATTGCTCTCACTCCCAGGTTTAATCAAACGCTAACCAGCGGAGATTTAATCTACCACGGACTCCCCCGGGTTTTTCCCAACCCACGGAGCTCGGTTCGCCACGATGCTGAAAAGCCTCGCGGCGTCATTGGTGTCGTCGTTGCTCGTACATTCACATCCCCTATCTCTCTTTCTCTCTTCCCGTCTATTCGATTCGCTGGCGTAGGTAATATAATCACAACACTCGGGGTGGCCTCGTTATTTATAGGCACTCTATTTGCGCCAATGGAGCCCGAATTTGACGACGATATCGACTCCGGCTGCGATTAAGGGATGACTCGTAAGCACTCGATCCCTACTCATTGCCAACCCCTAATGTGTCCCCAGGGGATGTTAAACGTCGGCTTTCCCAACGGCTCGGCCGCGCAGTGAAACAAAGTCGGTGGTTTGTTAATAGATGGTTGGCTGGGATTGAGGAAATCTCTCGTTAACGTTTTCGCCAACCAGCTCACATACATAGGCATCTATGTGTGCGACTCGCGAAACTTTACCGCAAAAAACATTTGTAAAACTGTACTTTTTGAGTACTATTTTAGTTCAGTAAAATTTAGAGGCAATCTGAAAGTGTAAAACTATAAAAGTGAAACTTGTAATTTCCATCGACCAATATATAATGAGTGATATTTGTTATTAAAATATCAAAATGTTTTGTAAAATGTTCGAACTGCTTCACTTTCGTGTGTTTTTATGCGTATTTCCAGATTTCTTGTTTCGAGCAAATGATCTCCTTAAGAGAGTCACATACGTCGTATATACACGTATACAATATGTACGTATTCATATATTCGCATGTATACATGTATCATACACGTGACATGTATTCATAAATTTATACACACACGTCACATTCCACGAAGGAATCGCGAAGATCCGCGAGTTTCCATTTCCCTCGGAACGTGTTAATTGATCGGTCTCAAACGGGATTTCCGTTTTCGCCGGATCGTGATACGGGACCATCAAACAATTTGCCTGGGACAGATAAGGCAAACGGTCGGCGAAACGAGCGGTCGAATAATGCACGAGGAAGTTTGAAGCGAGGAGTGTATCGAGGATGAAAAGAAAATTAACGGTGATACGATCGACACGAAGAGCAAAAGTTCGCTTCCTTTCGTTCGGCACGGCCCACAAAAGTTTCGCCGACCCACGTATATCGCCAACTTTTACACGCCCACGTAATACCCCGTGTGTCAACTGTGTGGCCAGGGTTGCCGCGAGGACAGGCAAGGGGAAAGGAAAAAAGAAGTAGAGAAAAAAAAAAAAGAGAAGTGTATGCGTCACCGTGTGACTTCCGGCCGCGATCGCCAATTGCTGTTCGCAGATGACACGTTGCGAGACTTTGTCCTCGAATGGAAATGACTGGCCACTGGTAGTTGCGGAAAGCAATGAAAAGTACCATGTGGACAAGGAAACGTCGATATTATAATACGTTATAACAGTTTCGTTCAGTATAGGATTTAGTTTAATATTCGAGACCTTGTAGTTATTTGATTCCATCCAGCGTCGCAACGGAAATGTTTATTAAATCTTTTAGACGTCTAAATCTAGAGTCGACGTAATTTGTTCGTAGCAAAGTTCGCTTTTTTTTCTTTTTTCTTTTTTGTTGATCTTTTTTTTTTTTAACGTTACGTCGCACGATGACCGAGTTATATTCCAATATTATAACTACTTTAATATTATATTTAATATTGGCGTATTAGTAGTAATATTTTGATTCCAATCTGACGAAGGATGTACGAATAATATTGAAAATAGGTAATAGATAAATCCATAACGAATAATACGAGTTCAGTTGTTATAGGTCATCAGTTCAACTCGATTAATATCAATCTTTATACTCGGTTATTAAGTAATTCTTAGACGTTCAAACAGGTTATAAAACGATTATTTAATTCATATTTAGAATCGAATTCTAAGATTGCTGTTACCAAGATGAATGTGTGAGAGAAACGACTGTGCTTTCTCACGATAATCATCCAAGTTATTTGCTCATTCGTCTGACAATTAATTGAATGCTAGTTCTTCTCAAAACGTAAAAGCAATTCGATGCTCGAACAGACGAAACCGTGTTTCACCGTCGAGATTTCAACTTTGCCGTGGCCGAATTTTCGGGGGAGTCGAGGCACGCGTGTCGCCAGCGTTGCGGCGATTTCCATGGCGAATCACAAGTTTGCAGACCGTTCGGCAGCCATACGATCGTCGCAACATCCCTGATGACACGTTACCGCGTTTCCTCGACGCTCGAAATATCGCGCAACGTGCGTTTATGTGTAATAAAAGTGACCAGCTGCGCCGCAGCGCCTTCTGTCATCGCAGAAACGTACACACATTTTCTTTTTTTTTTTTCCTTTCTTTTTTCTTTTACATTGGAACCTGTAAAAAAAGTCGAGACCAACCGGACAACTTCGCAATTCCACGAAGAAAAGAATCACGGAAAGCTTATGCGTGGTGGTTTTTGAAACATTCCAATGTCGAACTTTTGAGATATTCCAATGTCGAACGAGGTAATTACTCGGAGGCTGTTACGAGGATCGAGCCAAAGATTTTGGATCTTCAGTTTCGGGATTGTTTCCCGTGGGATGAAACGGTACACCCACGAGTTTATTACTCGAACCAGATTGCAGCGAAGAACGATTGCAATTAAGTATTTGTCGTCTTGTTTGACTGGACTTTTTTAGTTTACAAATAATCTCGCGCCAGTTGATTTGAATGAGCGACTGAAACGATTTTTCTCTGAATTATCTCATCATTGAAATTTGTTATTTTATTTCTCAAATATTAGTAATCTCGTTTGTAAAACAGAGAGAACTTAAATGAAGATACTTAGAACGTCAGCTCGTGTTGGGATTATTTTATCTCAATGAATTAGTTCAAGTAAAAATAATCTGAAAGTTGAATAAAATCTCGTCTTCTCGTATAAATCTTCAGTTTCCTCGTAAAAATCACTTTTCGAAACGTGACCTTAATCGAACCTTAATTAACCTTAATTAAACTTAAACAGGTTCATTCAAGTTTTTGTAATCATTTCGATCATTTTGTAATCAACGAATCAACCATTTTTCAAATTGCTACCTCTTGCAAATGGCCCCCGTATTAAAATTTCATTCTACAAATGATGGCCGTACCGAAGTCGAAAATTATGTTTAAGATGAGAGTAGGCACTCTTTTTTTCTAATTGACGCT